AGGGACAAAATGCAGACTGGCTCCTGGCCGCAGCTTCGGAGGGATAGGTATTGGCTCAGGGCCGAGTCCTGCTCAGAAGCTTGTCCACAGAGCAGCAGAAACAGAGTCACGTGGGACCCGTTGGGAATGCAGATCGCCAGGCCCCACCCCAGCCCTCTTGAGCCAGGAACTGAGAGACTCAGAGATGGGGCCTGGCAATCCGCGCTTTAGGGAGCCCCTCAGGTGATTCTGATGTGAACGCTGACCTGGATCTCTCAGCCCCCCGGGCCCCGGGTCTCAGATGTCTCCAAGCCGCATATCCATCTGGGTGCCTGGCAAGTTGGTGTTTATTTCAGAAATATTGTCTGTTTCCATTTTAATAAAGGAAGCAGACTTGAGCAGTTCTCTGCTGGATGTGATTTTGATCTAATAAAAATGCCAAGCTGCTCTGGACCCAAGAGAGTCTTCCTTGAAATTCCCTCTGCTATTTTGAGGGCAGCAGCGGCGGAGACCCATCTAGACAGAGCTCCCAGAAGCCACCTCTGTACCCGGCAAGTGACAGACCCTTGCCCAGCCCTGCCCGTCCTTACAGACACACCTGGCAAAATCAAAAGCTTGTCTCAGGCATTGAACTTGACAGCTGCAATCAGCTGCAAGGCCCAGTTGCCCCCAAAAGGAAGATACAGACACCTGGACCAGATGGCAGCATCGCCTCCATCAAATGTCACATCTGATGTGCTCCCGAGATGGCTGGTGGCACTGCAAAGCCCCAAAGGCAAGTTTCAAAAGCAAACTCTTTCCTCGGGAGAAAGAAATTGTGGCAGAGTCCATATCACAGAAGCCCAAGAAAAAATAGTGACTTCCGGAGCCGTTAAGATAACCAAAATTTCATGTACTGCTTTGGGGAAAAGTGGCCGCTCTAGTGGGAAATGGTGGGACACACTTGGAGTAACTGAGCACCTGCTGTGTGCAACACACTGTTCTAGGCTCTCAGAACACAGACACGAACAAAACAAGTCAGGGGGCCTGTTCTCCTGGAACTTAGTGGGGCGAGACCACCAAACAAAAACCAAGTACGTAAATATAAAAAATAATTTCAGAGAGGGACAGGTGCCGTGAAGGAAAGAAAACAAGGTGATAATGAGGACAGCAGCGGAAGCAGGTGCAGTCAGGCGAAGCTTCTCCAAGGAAGCGGTCTTCTGGCTGAGACTTCAAGGTGAGACAAAGCCAGCCACGCAAGGATTTAGAGGGAGAGAGAGAGAGCGGCAAGTACAAAGGCCCTGTGAGGGGATGGTTTGCATTTTCTAGAAAGAGAAAGGCCAGGGGGCTGGGGCAGAATGAGAGAAGGGAGAGGGAGAGGAGGTGAGGGTGGGGGCTTGGGGGCCCAGAACAGGAATGGCCTTGTACCCAGAGGAAGGAAGAAGACAGACAACCGAGCCAGGCTATATCCCTCAGGGGACCGGAGATCCCAGCAAGTCAGGGTGCCTTTCAGCTCCTTACTCTTTCCATCCCCACAGAGGAGTCATCAGCCCTCCTTCCCAGGGCTGTGAACGGCTGAGCAGAGACCTGCACACAGTAAGCCTTTAATAATGTGGGCTCGCTGACATTCCTCCTCCCCCGTTCCTCCTGCCCGCAAGTCAGCCCACCACAAAATCCGAGCAGCTGTTCGGTGCAGAAATATTGCAAAACTCGACCAGGCATTTCCAAAATATTTTCTTGGCCAGAACCCCACTAGCAGCTAAGAGGCTGCATTCTGGAGATGGTGCTGATCAGGCTGCTTTTCTAGCCCACGAGGTCTGCGAGGACCAAGTCCACATGGGCCCCCTGGCATGCGGCAGCTCACCCTGGGGGTCCAGGGTTCAGGCTCTGGGGCCAGACAGGCTGGGTGCAAATCCCAGCTCTGCCATATGTCAGGCTTCACTCTCCCTGCCTGTAAAATGGGACCTGTTTAGGATTAAATAAGTGGATAAATGTAAAGTCCTCAGAACACACACCAGGATGAGCAGACCTGGTGGGACTGAGTTCTCGTTGGCTATTTTTGTGATCTAGTCCAGGAATCCGTATCGCTGTAGGATTCTTCCAAGTTGGGTCACCCCTGGCCAAGTATCCCCTCCGTCTCCAGCACCTCGCCCTCACCGCCAGCCAGATGAGGACCCCGCTTTAGCTCTGGCCACACAAGAGAGCCATGCTCAGGAGCCCCCCAGTCCAGGAACACACCTTGCTCACCCCCATGTTCCAGAACCCAGCCCGGGTCCAGTCCAGAGAAGCATCTTTCGTAAAGATATGTTGAATAAATGGCTTTCCCGCGGCCACGAGAGCAGCCACCTTAGGGGTCACTCAAGCGACCGAAGCCAACTCCTCTGACAGTGGTTGTCGGGAGCTTTTCCTTCTGGCGGTAACGGAGTCCCCGGCGCCTCCGCGGGCCCTGGGGGAAACACGACATCCCCGGCAGCTCAGCTACCTGATAAAAGGCACACCTGGCAGAGCGCTGTGGGATCTGAGGCTCCTTTCTTCCTGAGGAGCGGGGATCTGGCAAACCTCTGGGGGCCGCCACCGGCCCTCCACAGCCCCTCTGCGGCTTCTCTGTGAGCCCGGGGCAGTGCGTGAGGATCTGGGGGTTTCACGGGCTCTCCCCACCCCAAGCACACTCCCTGGAGAACCTAGCTTCAGCCGTCTCCCTTCCCTACTCTGCAAGACCATCCAGCTACACCCAGACCGAGCAGCATGGCCGCACCAACCTGTCCTCTTTAGACACCCTGAGGCCCCTTGTGCCCCCTCGGCGAAGCAGGCTGCTGACCTCCACCGGCCCCAGGGCAAGGCAGGCCCCACGCCCCAGCCCAGCACGCTCAGCGCCCGAGCAGAGCGGCGGTCGTGTCTGGAGGGGTAACAGATTTGCGCGCTCTGCACCAGCGGTCCGGGCCCCCCAGCGGGGTTCAGGGCGCTCGCCTCCGTACTGTGTCCTTTACAGACCCTGCCTTTCCCCGCTCCTACTGTGTCTTCTGGGGCCACCCAAACGGGCGCTGGCTGCTGCTGAGCCCTTATCTCCCCATCTGCCTCTGGGAGAACCCTAATGAAGACATCCTGACAATTCTTCCAGCAGAGAGTTCTCGAACCCACCCACTTTCATCTTCCTCACCAAAGGTCAGGCCACTGTCATCTCTCCTGGGAATGACGACAACAGCATCTAAGCTGCTCGGCTGGCCTCTGCTTTTGCTTCCCTGCGACCCTTTCCCCACAGTGCCGACGGATGGCTATGGCTGGATGGAGAGACACGGATATGGAGACCGACAGACAGACAGATAGGTGACATAGGTCTAAGTACAGATTAGAGGTATGGATAGATACACAGACACAGATGAACAATTTGGGTAAGTCTCCTCCCTGCTCAAAATGCCCCTGGGCTCCCCACTGCACGGCCAGCTCCCCACTTCCCCCGCTCCTGTCCCCGCGCCCCTCCAGCCCCATCGCCAGCCTCCCCACTGCTGTCCCTGCTCCAGCCACACTGGCCTCCAGTCCTGGCTGCCCCTGCTTCGGGGACTTAGCGCTCGCAAGCCTCCGCCTGGCTGGCTCTTTCTCATTCTTCAGGCTCCAGTCAGAGGCGGCTCTAGAGGAGCCTGCCCCATTCCCCTACCTTCACCCGCACCCTCCGAGCACCTGTCTGTTGTGAGATTGTCTTGTTTCTGAGTCACTTCGTGCTTTCTCCCCCCGTCCCCAGACGGTGAGCCCCACAAGGCGGAGGCCTCTGTCTGCTCTGGCTCGCTCACAGCTGTGTCTTGGAGGGAACAAAAGATGGATTTTCTGCAGGCTGTTGACCTGCGCGTGAGTGCACGTGATGCTCCTTTCATGAGGGAATGCTGCTTGGCAGATGAAGTGGGTGCCGGGGCAGGGGTGAGGGCCGTGGGAGGCGGGCTGAGGGTGGAGGGCTTCTGCAGTTCCCCTGACCCTGGGTGTCCTCGTTAATCCCAGTGCTTGCTCTTAGAGCCAGACGGGGTCCCTTCAACTCTATCTTCATCCTTGGGCTTCGGGGATTGGGCTTCCCTGCCCCAGACAAGCCCCACCAGCCTCTTTCCACCCAGGGTTGCCTGCCCATTCTGCAGGGAGTGTGGGGAGGCTCGGGCCCAAGCATGAGCCAGTGGCGCCTGAACAGCGTCCTCAGCCTTCATCCCTACTATGTGCCTCCCGAGCCCCTCAGAGGGATTTCTGCTCCCCGGCCCTCTCCTTCTGTGAGTGTAGGTGGGAGAACCCCCAGGCACAGAGATGCAGATACTGGCCGCTGGACCTAAAAGGTCTGAGAGACATGAGCAGGGTACGGACGGGGTCTGCCACGAGTAGCCGTGCTGTGCGACCTCGGGCAAGCTACTCCACCTCTCTGAGTCTGAATTTCCTCATCTGCACAACGTGGCTCGTAATCCAGGCTGTCGGGGGGCCAGCAAGCACAGGAGATCAGGCGTGAAAAGCCCTTGGGAGTGGGTGTGGTGGGCAGGGAGCCTGTGGTGGGCCTTCCGCAGGCTGAGCCGAGCTGAGATTCTGTCATTTTAACTTTAATCTCCTGGCTCTTTCTGTTTCTGGCTGGAGCAAGGCCCTTTCTCTGCTTCCACCCTCTTTGCTTTCTGGTCCCCCACAGTGAGGCATATGAAGTCAATGCACTCTGAGCTGCCAGGAGCCTCTGCGGCCCAAACAAATCTCATCCACTGTCACCACCCTGACTTGGCTAGTCGGACCCCGGGGCTGTTCCCCCTTCTGGCCAACAGCCAACCCAGCCTGGACTCAAGCTGTGGCTCGCCTGCCTGCCCTGCAGCACCCAACGTCCCCCTCGCTTTCTTAGCATCCCATCTCCATCGTGAGAGGGCCATGGCCGCTGTGTGCAGGGGACGGGCTATGCCAAGACGCCAGCCTCAGTTTCCCCCTCTGCAGTGTGTGTCTGTGGGAGCAAGCAGGGGTGCAGGGGGAGGTTGGCCTGGCTCATCTCCAGGGTCCCCTCTCCTGAGACAGCGCAGGCTGCTGCAGACGAGACCACTTACGGGCAGCGTATCTCTCGTGGCGACAATCTAAGCGCAGGTCCTCCTCCTCGTGCCCATCCCCCTTCTCGATCCTGGAAAGAAAAGGACCCAAAAGCCTGTGAGAGAAAGAGCAAGCTGAGCTGGCAGAGACCCAGGACCTGAAAAAAAGTACAGTCTTTTCCCTTTGGGAACACTGTGCAAAGCAACCCGGGCCACGGCCGCCACATGGAGCCTTACCACAACCCTGTTAGATGGGCACCGTGATCTCCATTTTGTCAACGGAGAAACTGAGGCACCGAACGCTAATGTGACCCGTTGAGTGTCCCGCAGCTAAGAAGTTAGAGGCAGAACAGGGACACAAACCCATGTGTCCTCAGAAAAAGATGTTTAATTATGTGCAAATGCTAAATTACAAAAGACTACACACGGTTTGATTTAAAAATTATATGCAGATGTGCACAAAAGATTATTTGTGCCAAGGCCAATGGGAACTAACCCCAGATAATGAGGATATAGGGATTCAATCTGGAATCTTTTTGCTTACCTCTATTCTCTGACTTGGGGGCAATGGACTCCTATTAGCTGTGTCACTTTTCTTCACTAAATGAAAACACTTCCTCAGGGCATTTATCTACAAAGACACAAAGCCCCGGTCTCCTGACTTCTGGCGCAGAAGGTTGGAAGGTGGCTCCTTCCCACCGACACGTGTGGCTTCCTTCTCTGGCATCTCAAGATCACTGCAATTCCAGACGGGGCTAGAACTGGTGTGGCAGGGGATGCCAGGCTGACAAGGGTCTGAGTGGAGGCAACTGCAGACCTAAACCCTCGCCCTCATCCCGCTACTGACCGGGCCCAGGGAATGGGTAGGGCCATGTTCCCGCACTGCGCTCGCCCCTTTGTAACCCAAACACACCACGGAGCTCCACGCGGTCCAGTCCTGGTGTACATTACCTTTAGAGGGACACAATCTGGTCCCCAGAAGTAGAAACAACGCCAAGCATGATCATATCTGCTAAAGAACATTGGAAACATTCCCAATTCCGTATCTATGGCCACGCATGTTCTTAGATCTTTCCTCCACTCCTCTTTGCCTTTTACTTGCTTTGCACTCCTCCACCCACCTCTTCTTTGCAGGGGTATCCTCTGTTCTCTCATGCAGGGAAGTCCCAGTCCTCACCCCAGCAAATGCCCCACCCCTGTTCTCTGGTTCTTCCCACCACGTCTTATTTCTAGTTGCCTGGCAGTGTCCAGAGTGTGGGGCTGGAGAAGGAGACATGGGGAAGGTGACAGATGACAAGCAAGCAATTCCAGATGCCTAGTAGAAGGGAGAGAAATACTCATGCACTGATCCTTCTGGGCCCCTCAGATTGCTCCTTCACTCATTCACCGGGAATGTCCAGAGGACCTGCTCTGGGCAGTTTACTCCAGATGCTGTGTGCACTGCAGAAACGTCTACCTTTTGTCTCTGCCCTCAGAGCCTCCAGTCTAGTAGGAAGACACACGAGGCAGACAGTGACAAGCGTTATAACACCGCCCAAGAGTGCCACGCTGTCTGTACCCAGGGGCTAGGCCTGTGCTTCCTGGGGAGCAAACCCTAACATGGTTGGGTTTTTTTAACAAGTACTTTCTATGGCCTGAGTGGTCTCAGATGGCAGAACAATGTCCTAAGGGCTGAAGCTATGGGAAGGCAGGTATATGCTGTAGATAGGTGATGCTATGGGAGGGTTCCAAACGAGGAAAGATGTCTTTTTTTTTTCTTTTTGCATCTTTTAGTAGAAACATCTTTGTCATTTTCCTGATAGCACGGGCTTATTTAAAAAACAAACAAACAACCAAACCCAAACCCAAAACACCCCCCTCCCACTCATAGAGCAGAAGTCCCCTTACAATGACACCTCCCTGTGGTGGCATCACCACTGCTAGGAGCTTGGTGTTTATCCTTTCAGAACTAAAACGTTTTTTTAACATATACAGCCTCAAATTAAAGGTGCTTTTGTAACCTGGTTTTTTTTCTTACCCACAAATTTCTATTATCTTTCCACGTCAGTACACATAAATCTCACTCGCCTTTTCCCTCCTATTGTACGTGAAAGAAGAGTTAATATTCAATCCCCTGCTGACAGACACTTAGGGGTTGTCCAGTTTGGCACTCTTCCAAGTAGTCCTGCATGTATACCTGGCAAGGTGCTGAGCTCCCCATCCCCAGAGGTAATCAAGACTAGAGTATCACCGATCGTGACCCTGCAAATACTGGATGGAGGTTGGACCAGGTAACTGAGCCCATCCCCGTCCCAGAGTGCCATCTGCCTGGCCATGTCCAGTGCCTCTGGGTCAACAGAAGCCTGCCCTGCCACATATGGGCCTTGAACACCCTCCTGTGCTCCCAGCCTTAACCTTGAGCCGATTACTCCAGATTACTCCATCAACCCCAGGCTCCCCGTTCTCAGGGCTTCTTATCTTCTGATATCATCCCCTCCAGGCCTCATGCTGGGCACATCCCTGGGGCTCTGCGGGGAGCCTCAGCCCTGGGGAGGGGGCCTGTGAGCAAAGGAGCTGGTGTTTAAGGAGAGAAGCAGCCCCAGCTGGTCTCGTCCCTCTGGGTCCCGAAGGCGGCCAAGAAACCCTTAGTTCAATAGTTAACATATCAAAGAACACCTGCCAGTTAGCAAGCAAATGCTGGAGGGGTGCTGGTCTTGGGGGCCACAGAGCCCTCTGCATCCGGAAGTTCATGCCTGTTGTGCACTCAAATAATCATAACTTAATGTGCGAACTTTTAGGCCAGAGAATGTTTAAGAGGGTTGGCAGGGTAGACCACTGCGTAGTCCGGGCGTTGGCAAACTTGTCCTGTGAAGGTCTGGATAGTAAAGACGTGAGGCCTCTCTGTCACAGCTATTTGACTGCCCTTGTGGTGCATAAAAAGCCGCAGACACTGTGCAAACCAACGGGTGTGTTGTTCAGGAGACGTTTCTTTGCAGCAGGTGGAGGTCCAGATCTGGTTTTCGGGAGACCGCGTGTTAACCCCTGGTCTTAACAATGCTTCTCAGCTTGGAGGCCCACTGAAGTGACCTGGGGAGTTTTCATTTACCCGGGGGCTGTAATGTGCGGCCAGGGCTGAGAACCACCCGTCGGGTGCAGCAGAGGCTGCGTGGAGGAAGCCCGCATCCGACACGGGATCAGCATGCTGGAGGCCACGTGACCCGCTCCCTTCTCAGAGACCGAGCTGGACCCACACCCATCCGCCCGTCCTTCAGCTGTGCCGCGTGGCCATTCTGGAAAGAGCTGGTTTCCCTGCTCGAACGCAGCCCTCTCTACCAGAGTCGTCAATGAAAGGAACAGATCTGCGGGCTCTTGGGGGCCGACTGGTGAGGGGCAAGGCGTGGCCGCGGTTATGGCAAGAGCTGAGGACCCTCCCGTAGACCCCCAGCGCTCCCTGGCAGGAAACACGTCAGGACGCGGGGATGCTTTGGGCAAGACTGAGCCCTTGGGCCCTGCAGAGAGGAGGGAGCACGGCCGACCGGCAGCTCTGCTCTTCGCAGGCAGCATGGTCTTGTGCGGCTCACCTGACTGTCCTCCGTGAACCCTATGATCTAGAAGTTTCTACGTGGCAATGGGTACACGGTGGTAAGCACGACAGAAAGGACAAGTACCACCGCCCCACTGGTGGTTGTGAACCCTGGAGCCCGGTACCTGGCACAGAGCCAGGGCTCCAAACAGGTTAACCACCACTATTTCTAAACTCGCTTAATCGGCGGGCTTCCCTGTACATTTTTAAAGTCCAAGAGAAGAAGATGGAGTTTATTCCGTTCTCCACTTGGAGGCCTCAGGCTCTAGCCCAGTGCTTGGCACCGGGCGTCCCCAGGAACGTTAGCAGGGAAGGAGCATAGGCAGCCCGAGGCTAGGAGCAGCCCACGTGGGGAGCATCTGGGGTGCTGAGCTCTGTGTAGAAAGAAAAGGAACAACGGCTAACGGGACCAGGTGACAATTATATTTGATTTGGAACTGTGATTTCCTGCAGAAAATATTATGTGCTTTCTGAAGATAGTTGTTTTTAATGGTGGTGCAAGAAATTACCCACAAATCTAAGTAAGTGCCTTGAAGGGTAAATAGTGGGGGGAAGGGGGTGCTGGGACTGAAAACAATGCTCAGGAGGGGCACCAGGTGGGCAGTGAGCACCTCTGTCCTCCGTGAACCCGCTGTGTGCTTCCCTCTGCGGGCGTCGGGCATCACCTCTGTGAAAGCTACTTGAGTCTGGACATGTCCTGATCACCTGCCAGTCTGACTTCCTCCTCTGATCAATGGGCATAATGACGCACCTGCCTCTTGGGTGGCTGTAGGAGTAAATGAATGAGTCCGTGGAAAGCTCTGTCTGTCTGGAGTTCTCATCACGTCATTATTACTATGGTCATCATCAACCTCATCTCTGAGGGTCCGTCTGTGACTCCACCGCATGGTTCCAGGTGTGGGAGGACAGTATTTTAACATGTTCACCAATCCCCACCCCTGAACCCCCCCCCAAAAACCACACCCCCTTTCCTTCCACTCCATCGGTTAGACCTGAGCCACGTGCTGCCTCAGGAAAGGGGTGTTCTGGAAGAAGCAGAGAAAGGGCTTCAAGGCATCAAATGCCTCTGGATTCAGGGCAGAGGGCCCCCCCAGGGGGTCCCATGCAGCCTTCCGTCCCAGAACAGAGTCTCCCCGAACTGGGGACAAGGAGAGGCAGAGCAGAAGCTAGGCTAGTACCTAGCAAGGAGGATGAGCCCCGGCTGAGGGTGACAGGAACCGCAGCACCTGCTCAGACTTTCAAGGGAGAGCGACATACACTTGTGAATTGCCTAAACCCTCATTATTTGGGGTCTGTTTGCACCCGTTCAGACCTGTGTCCTGACCAAAGTCACCGCCGCCGCCGCCGTTACCGTCAGCCCCATTTTACAGACGGGAAAACCGAAGCCGAGGTAGCCCTGGGACCTGCCCCAAGTTCAGTGGCGTGCTGGTAAGGGTTAACGGCTGGCTCTCCGGCAGAAGGCAAGGGCCCAGCTTCGCAGCGTCTGTGCACGCGCCCATTGTGGCCAGTGTGACGTCACTGCCCGTGGAG